AATGGTCCAGACCCGAAACATCAGCTTTCCTGCTCCTCTGATGCTGCTTGGCCTGCTGTGTTCATCCAGCTCTACTCCTTGTTATCTCAGATACTCCAGCATCGGCAGTTCCTACTATCTTTGAATCAGCAAATGCAAGATCCCCTCCAAGCCACACATTGATCCTAACTTGGAACTACTTTGCAATTCCTTCACAATCTCTGAGTCAAAAACATGGAACTCCCTCGCTAACAGTATTGTGGGTATACCTTCACCCTACAGATTGCAGCAATTTAAGGCGGCAGCTCACCACTACCTTCTCAAGAATGATTGAAGATGGGCAATAAGTACTGGCCTAGCCAATAAAGTTCACGTTCTGTGAACAAATTAAAATAAGGTTTGCAGAAAAATTTTCTTTATCTACCTTAAAGCATGTTGGATAATTCTCAATTTCCTTATACATGTTCTTTTCCTTTTGAAGAGATGCTGCAGCTTCATCAAGCCTTAAAAACAGGGAATAAAACACCGCATTAACAGCAGTTTTAAGGCAGTTCCACAAACAGGCTTCATTATGGCAATCTTTTTTTTTAAAAATCAAATCAACAATTATTTATTTCATACATAGATGGAACTGTCAACATGTCTACCACAACCAATGCATTTGAAAAGACAATGTTAAACAAGCACAAATCTGTGATCCAATCATCTACTGTCAGTCTTCAGAGGCATTTCAGAACATATCAAAGACTATTTTGGATATAGTAAATGCAAATACTTTAAAACTGAGAACACAAAAAGCAGAGGAGAAACATTTACAGTTAATTGTGAATCATGTTGGACAGAATGAATGCATTCAAGAAAAAGGTTCCATTTACATAAATTCAAGATGACAGTTGGGATGATGCAGTGAGGACGGCTAAGAAAAAGAACACAGGGCCCTCTTGTGGTGTAGAAATAGTATCCCTACTCCCAGACCAGGAGGCCTGGGTTCAGGTCCCATTTGCTTGAGGTATATAATAACATCTCTGAACTGGTTAATTAGAAAAATAGGTTAAATCAAAAAAAAAGGAAAATGAACACAACTGGCATACCCAAAACTGAAGGCAATCACTTCCCAGGCAACTTTCTGTGCAAAACCCATTTCTACATGTGAATTTAATTGCTCTGGAACACATGTGGTCTTTCATTAATGGAAGTCACTGGAGCATTTGATAAGATGCCACACATTAGGCTACTTAATCAGGGCCCATTATGTTAGAGGTAATATATCAACATGGATAGAGGATTGCCTAACTAACAGAAATTACAGAGTTGGGATAAGGGGGTCACTTTCAGAATGGCAACCTGTAACTAGTAGAGTGGCACAGGAATCAGTGCTGGGACCTCAATTATTTACAATTGATGTAAGTAACTTGGATAAGGCAAGTGAATGTATTATAGCCAAGCATGCAGATGTCATAAAAATAAGTAGGAAGGCAAGTGTTGTAGATAACACAGAGGCTGCACAAGGGTCTAGACAGATTAAGTGACACGGTGGCTCAGTGGTTAGCACTGTTGCCTCACAGTACCAGGGACCCCGGGTTCAATTCCAGTCTTGGGCGGCTGTCCATGTGGAGTTTGCACACTTTCCCCATGTCTGTGTGGGTTTCCTCCCACAGTCCAAAGATGAGCAGGTTAGGTAGATTGGCCATGCTAAATTGCCCCATTGTGTCCAGGGATGTGTAGGTTAGGTGGATTAGCCATGGAAAATGTAGGGTTTCGGTGGGGGTGAGTCCGGGTGCAATGCTCTTCAGAAAGTCGGTGTGGACTTGAAGGACTGAATGGCCTATTCCCACACTTTCTGGGATTCTATGAAAGTGAGTGGCAAAAATTTAGCAGATGGAATACAATATGGAAAACTGAGAAATTATGCACTGTAGCAGGAAGAATAGAGGAGCTGAATATCATTTAAATAGGGAAAGACTGCTGAAAGTTACAGAGCAGAGGGATTTGTGAGGCCTCGTGAATCTTAAAACGTTAGCGTCCAAGTTCACAGATAATAGGGAATGCAAATGGAATATTGGCCTTTACTTCAAAGGAAATGTGGTATAAAATTAAGGACGTTTTTCTCAAACTATACTAGATACTAGTCAACCACAGCTGCATACCATGAGTTTTGTGTCCCTACTGACATTGGAGACAGTCCAGACGAAGTTCACTAGGCTGGTTATCATATATAGAGGGGCTGTTTGAAACAGACAGATTGGGTAGGTTGCCTTGTACTCATGGAAATTTAGAAGAATGACAGAACAACTTGTTAAACCATTCAAGAATCTCAGCATCTTGACATGGTGGATGCAGAAAGGTTGCTTCCTGTTATGGGACAGTAGTAGCCCAGATGGCATTATCTCAGAATAAGGGGTTGAATAACTATGGCAGAGATTAGGAGGAATTTCTTCTCTCGGAGGGTAATGAATCTGTTGAATTCAATACTGCAAACAGCTGTCGAAGCTGAGATAAGACAAATTTTTAATCAGTCAGGGAATTAAGCATTATAGGGAAAATGCAGCAAAGTGGAATTGTAGATTATCAGATCAGCCATGATCTCATGGTGGAGCAGACTCGATGGGCTGAATGGCCTACTTCTCCTCCTATATCTTATGGTCTTATGGAGTCACTAGGGTTAAGGCTGTCCAATATTAGATCATTAAAAATCACTCAAAATACACAGCACAGAAACAGCCAAAATATCCAACCAACTCATCCCAGCATTTAAGCTCCACATACACCTATTCCCATCCTTCCTCATCTGTCTAAACTGTCAGCATAAACCTCCATTTCCCTCTCAGTAATATGCTGAGGAACAATATGTATATTTACTGTTACAATGTTTTCATCAACAACTTGGAGGGAGACATGCTTATGAACAGAAGCACTGTTCCATTTACTTTTCTTCATCTTAAGTCCTTCGGTAGCCAAATCTAGTTTTCAGAAAGGCTGTTACCTGCGAGCCCGAACTAGCAGCCGTGAAACTTTTCCAAGCAATTCAGCTGATTGGCGTAAACGCTCTTCATTCTACCAAACAATAAGTTTACTGTTACAAAGCGAAGTCAACATTTTATAATAGCACAAAGTCTACTTCATCACAACATTTTAACACTGTTAATAAGATATCTGCAGACGTCCAAATCTTCTTTAAAAAGAACAACCACTTATAAATTCTCGATGTTTCTAGGTAATTGATATCATCTTTAAAAGGAAAGATAAATCAACCATAGTTAAGGGCAAAAGTTAAACAGTGCATTAGATCAATATAAACAAATTATTAAAATATCAGAAATCGTGTTAAGCCTGAGGACTGCGAACAATTTAGGTCCTAGCGAAAGACCAAGAAACTAATTAGAAAAGGGAAGAGAATTTGAATGTAAGCTGGAAAGAAATAAGGACTATATTGTACATGGAAAGAAAACAATTAACAAGGATAAATGGAGACCTGTTACAGATGGGAACAGTAGAATTTATAGTGGAAAACAGGGAAATGGCAGAGAAACTATAGAGTTAATTTGAATATTTCTTCATGGAAGATGATACAGAAAATCTTTCGCAAATTCAAGGCAACCAAGGGACTAGTGCAATGAAAGAGTTGAAAGAAATTAGTATCAGTAAAGATGTAGCACTTGAAAAATTGGCTGAATTGAGAGTTGATAAATCCCTGGGCAGATGAGCTTCATGCCAGATTTTATTTATTTGTTCATAGGCTACAGGTGTTGCTAAGCCAGCATTTATTACTGCCCACAGAGCAGTTAAGAATCAAACACATTGCTGTGGGATTGGAGTCACATGTGGGTCAGACCAGAGAAGGGGGGCAAATTTCATCACTAATGCACTTGAGTAAACAAGGTGGGTGTTTGACAGTAGGCACATGGTTGCCATGAAACTAGCCTTTTACTCCACATTTTTGATTGAATTCAAATTTCACCACGTGTCATGGGGGGATTTAAACCCACGTATCTAGAATATTGACCTGGGGCTCAGGATTACAAGTCTACTATGTCACCACCTTCCCATGCTCACAGCTTTGAAGATAACGGATGCATTGGTTAGCTTTTGAAATTCCATAAATCCGAGAAAGGTTCTTGCTGACTGGAAGGTGAAAAGTGTAATCCAACTATTTACGAGAAGAGGTAGAATGGTGAACTACAGACATATTAGTTTGACATTAGCAGGAGGAAAACAGTAGAATTTAGAGAACTGAATATAGTGCTTAAATGTCTCTCCAAGGTGGGCAGTACACCTTAGGAAGGAAAATGTGTGTTCCAGGCACGAAGTGACTACTGGGCTACAGAGTCGACAAGACTGGGTTACACCCTTTGGAAGATAGAGAGGGCAACAAAAGGTGTCCCAGCCCCCCACGTCTGTACCAGGGCTTAGGTCTTTCCAAGGGTGGTGAATTATTATGGAAAATTCATATGTAACCTAGCCTCCGTCCTGACACCCTTACATCTGCTACTGAAAAAGGGTCAGCCTTGGAAACGGTTTTGTAGCCAAGACGTAGCCTTTAGGGAAGTGAAGAAGCAGCTTTCGTCATCTCAGAGATAGTAGTAACTGCAGATGCTGGAGAATCCGAGATAACAAGGTGTAGAGTTGGATGAACACAGCAGGCCAAGCAGCATCAGAGGAGCAGGAAAGCTGACGTTTCAGGCCTAGGCCCTTCTTCAGAAATGGGGGAGGGGAAGGGGGTTCTGAAATAAAGAGGGAGAGAGGGCGAGGTGGATAGAGGATGGATAGAGGAGAAGATAAATGGAGAGGAGACAGACAGGTCAAAGAGGCGGGGATGGAGCCAGTAAAGGTGAGTGTAGGTGGGGAGTTAGGGAGGGGATAGGTCAGTCCAGGGAGGACGGACAGGTCAAGGGGGCGGGATGAGGTTAGTAGGTAGGAGATGGGGGTGGGGCTTGAGGTGGGAGGAGGGGATAGGTGGGAGGAAGGACAGGTTACGGAGGCGGGGACAAGTTGGGCTGGTTTTGGGATGTGGTAGGGGGAGGGGAGATTTTGAAGCTTGTGAAGTCCACATTGATACCATTGGGCTGCAGGGTTCCCAAGCGGAATATGAGGTGCTGTTCCTGCAACCTTCGGGTGGCATCTTTGTGGCACTGCAGGAGGCCCAGGATGGACATGTCGTCTGAGGAATGGGAGGGGGTGTTGAAATGGTTTGCGACTGGGAGGTGCAGTTGTTTAGTGTGAACCGAGCGTAGGTGTTCCGCAAAGCGGTCCCCAAGCCTCCGCTTGGTTTCCCCGATGTACAGGAGGCCACAACGGGAACAACGGATACAGTATACCACATTAGCAGATGTGCAGGTGAACATCTGCTTGATGTGGAAAGTCTTCTTGGGGCCTGGGATGGCAGTGAGGGGGGAGGTGTAGGGGCAGGTGTAGCACTTCCTGCGGTTGCAAGGAAACGTGCCGGATGTGGTGGGGCTGGAGGGGAGTGTGGAGCGGACAAGGGAGTCACGGAGAGAGTGATCTCTCCGGAAAGCAGATAAGGGTGGGGAGGGAAAAATGTCTTCGGTGGTGGGGTCAGATTGCAGATGGCGGAAGTGTCGAAGGATGATGCATTGGATCCGGAGGTTAGTGGTGTGGTACGTGAGGACGAGGGGGATTCTGTTTTGGTTGTTATTGCGGGGAGGGGGTGTGAGGGATGAGTTGCGGGAAATGCGGGAGACATGGTTGAGGGCGTTCTTGACCACCGAGGGGGGGAAGTTGCGGTCCTTGTAAAACGAGGACATCTGAGATGTTCAGGAGTGGAATGCCTCATCCTGGGAGCAGATGCGGCGGAGGCGAAGGAATTGGGAATAGGGGATGGCATTTTTGCAGGAAGGTTGATGGGAGGAGGTGTATTCTAGGTAGATGTGGGAGTTGGTGGGCTTGAAATGGATATCGGTTTCCAGCTGGTTGCCAGAGATGGAAACAGAGCAGTCCAGGAAGGAGAGAGAGGTATCAGAGATGGTCCAGGTAAACTTAAGGTTGGGGTGGAAAGTGTTGGTGAAGTGGATGAACTGTTCGAGCTCCTCGTGGGAGCACAAGGCGGCGCCGATACAGTCATCAATGTACCAGAGGAAGAGGTGGGGTTTAGAGCCAGTGTAGCTACGGAAGAGGGATTGTTCCACGTAACCTACAAAGAGGCAGGCATAGCTTGGGCCCATGCGGGTACCCATGGCCACCCCCCTTTGTCTGTAGGAAGTTGAAGGAATTGAAAGAGACGTCCCGCAGGAGGGGGACTGGTTGGGCCTGCGGGACAGGAAGAAGCGGAGGGCCTTTAGGCCATCTGCATAGGGAATGCAGGTGTATAGGGACAGGACGTCCATCGTAAAGATGAGGTGTTGGGGACCAGGGAATTGGAAGTTTTGGAGGAGGTGGAGGGCGTGGGTGGTGTGACGGACGTAGGTAGGGAGTTCCTGGACCAAGGGGGAGAAAATGGAGTCGAGATAGGTGGAGATAAGTTCGGTTGGGCAGGAGCAGGCGGAGACAATGGGTCGACCAGGGTGTTGGCACACTACGATCGCAAGCAAAATGTGGTGCCGATATGTGATGCTCCCAACTCCCCCCCGCCTTCAACCTACAGTATCAGGGTAGTAAACAGATATTACAGAGTGGAGCTGGAGGAACACAGCAGGCCAGGCAGCATCAGAGGAGCAGGAAAGCTGACGTTTCGGGTCAGGGCCCTTCTTCAGAAAATCTTCAGTATCCTTCTTCAGTATCAGGGTAGTGTTGGCTCACCAGGGACCCAGCAGAAAGGACTCCCAATAGTACATGCATCACAGACTTTGGCTAGTGCCGAAAGAAGATACACTCAGATCGAGAAGGAAGGTTTAGCGGTAATCTTTGATGTGCAAATTTTTAATAGCAACAGAGTACAAATTCCTGCTAGGGCTACTTAAAGAGTACAAGGTTGTGGCGCCAATAGCTTCAGGTCGAATTCAGTGATGCGTCCTTATTCTGAGTACGTACAATTACAAGTTGGAACACCATCCAGTATGTCAGGTTCCAAGTGATCAATTGTAATAGAGGACTTTCTAGTCTGGGGCACAGGCAAACATTTCTGTGGTCATCAGTGAGACATCAGAATTGTGTGTTGCCTCCCTGGTGCCAGGGGAAAGGATATCATGGAGGGAGTGCAGAATACTCTGAAAGGGGAAAGTGATCAGCAGGAGGTCATTGTACATGTGGGTACTAACTACATAGGTAAGGAAAGAGGTTCTGCAGAGAGAATATAGGAAACTAGGCAGGAGGTTAAAAAGTAGGTAATCGAGGATAGTAATACCTGGACTACTACCAGTGCCATGTGCTGGTGAGAGTAGTAATAGGCGGACAGAACAGATGAATGTGTGGTCGAGGAGTTGGTGCAGGGAGCAAGGATTCGCATTGTTAGATCATTGGGATCTCTTCAGGGTAGAAATAACCTGTACAAGAGGGATGGGTTCCACCTGAATTGGAAGGGGACTTATATCCTTGCAGGGAAATTTGCTAGTGTTATTTGAGAAGCTTTAAACTAGTAAGGGTGAGGAGCAGAACCAAAGCGACAGCGAGAAAAGAGGAAAGGCTGAGGCTAGTACAACAGATAAGGGGAGCAAGTCTAATAGTCAAGGCAGACAAAAGCACAGCAAAGAATGAAGTAAGACTGATAAATTAAACTGCATTTACTTCAATGCAAGAGACCGGACAGGTAAGGCAGATGAATTTACGGCATAGTTGGGAATATGGGACTGGGATATCATAGCTATTACAGAAACGTGGCTCAGGGATGGACAGACTTGCACCTTAACATTCTGGTGTACAGATGCTATAGGAATGATAGAAAGGGAGGCAAGAGAGGAGCGGAAGTGGCGTTTTTGGTCAGGAGGAAAATTACAGCTGTACTTAGGGAAAGTATTCCTGGGAGGTTGTCCAGTGAAGTTATATGGGTAGAACTTAAAACTAAGAAAGGGATAATCTCCTTCATGGGATTGCATTATAGGCCACACTAATACTCAGCGTCAAATTGAGAAACAAATATGTAAGGAGATCTCAGATATCTGTAAGAAAAATAGGCAAGTGACAGGTATCAGTGGGGGAGCACTTTGGAGTAAGCAATCATAATTCTGTTAGTTTTAAAAGTTATGGAAAAGGATAGAACCGATCAAAAAGTTAAAGCTCTAAATTGGAATAAGGCCAATTGTGACAGTATTAGACAGGAACTTTCAAAAGTTGATTGGTAGAAACTTTTCGCAGGTAAAAAGGTGGTTGGGAAATGGGAGGCCTTTAAGAATGAGATCACAAGAGTTGAGAGACAGTATGTTCCTGTTAATGTGAAGGGGAAGGCTGGTGGGTGTAGGAAATATAGATAACAAGGTGTAGAGCTGGATGAACACAGCAGGCCAAGCAGCATCAGAGGAGCAGGAAGGCTGACGTTTCGGGCCTAGACCCTTCTTTAGAAAATGCAGAGGGAGGAGGGTAACTTCTTCAGGGTAGGCATCCTTAGAAGAGGCTTCGCAGTGGGGTTAAAATTGTTTCAGAGATAGTAGGAACTGCAGATGCTGGAGAATCTGAGATAACAATGTGTAGAGCTGGATGAACACAGCAGGCCAAGCAGCATCAGAGGAGCAGGAAGGCTGACGTTTCGGGCCTGGACCCTTCTTCAGGAAATGCTGGATGACTGGAGAAATTGAAGCTCTGGTCAAGAAAAAGGAGGTATTCATCAGGTATTGACAGCTGGGATCAAGTGAATCCCTAGAGGAGTATAAGGGCAGTGGGAGTATACTTAAGTGGGAAATCAGGAGGGCAAAAAGAGGACATGAGAAAACTTTGGCAAATAGAGTTAAGCAGAATTGAAAGAGATTCTATAAATATATTAAGGACAAAGAGTAACTAGGGAGACAATAAGGCCCTTAAAGATCAACAAGGCCGTCTACGTGTGGAACCACAGGAGATAGGTGAGATACTAAATAAGTATTTCATGGCCGTATTTACTGTAGAGAAGGACATGCAAGCTAGGGAACTTGGGGAAATAAATAGTTACATATTGAAAAGTGTCCATATTATAGAAGAGGTGGTGCTGGAGGACTTAAAATGCATAAAAGGTAGAAAAATCCCCAGGACGTGATGAGGCGTTTCCCAAAACTTTGTGGGAAGCTAGGGAAGAGATTGCTGGGTCCCTTACTGAGATATTTGTATCACCAACAGCTACAGGTGAGGTGCTGGAAGACTGAAGGTTGGCTAATGTGGTGCCTATATTTAAGAGAGCTACAGACTGAAGAGCCTGATGTCACTGGTGGGTACGTTGTTGGAGGGGATTCTGGGGACAGGATTTACATGCACTTGGAAAGGTAAAACTGATTAGGGATAGTCAGCATGGCTTTGTGCACGGGAAGTCGTGTGTCACTAACTTGATTGAGTTTTTAGAAGAGGTGACAAAGAAGATTGAGGTAGACATTGTCTATATGGACTTCAGTAAAATGTTCAACAAGGTTCCACATGATAGACTGGTTAGTAAGGTTATATCACAATAAACATTAATATTGAAATCACCCATGATTAATGTAGTGCCTTTGATACATGCGCTTATTCTCTCCTGATTTACTCTCCAACCCACCATGTGCCTACTGTTTACAGTCCTACAGATTGCTCCTACCAGTGTCTTCTTGCCTTGCAATCCAGAGGACAGCTGACAGGGTTGATGCTGAGAGGATATTCCTCGTGAGAAATTAGAATTAGGGGAAACTGTTTGAAAGTAAGGTGTCTGCCATTTAAAACTAATAACGGAAATTATTTTCCAATAGAAGGTTATTAGTGTGTGGAATTCTCTTGGAAGTGCAGTGGAGGAATGGTCTCTGAATAGTTTTAAGGCCAAGTTGGACAGACTTTTAATTGGCAAGGGGGTCACACAGAGTTGGGAAAGTGAAGTTGAGGTCACAAAGGGATCATTCAGGGTAGGGAAAGTGAAGGTGAGGTCACAATCAGATCAGCCTGGACTTTGTTACAAGATAGCGCAGGCACAAGTTGTTGATTGGCCTACTCCTGCTCTTAATTTGTACACTCATCTGATTTTCTCTGAACTTATATTCTTATTGTACTGATTTCTAAACCAATTTTATGTTGGCTCTGATGATAAACTGAAAATCAGCCAAGAAATTCTTTTTTTAAAATTAGCAATTAAAAATTTAAATTAAAGGATCCTTGTTCAACAACTTACCTCAAACACAGAAGCCGCCTGTTGGTAAAGATCTATGGCTTTTTCCAAGTTTACATTTTCGATCAGCCTGAAACATAACAAAAATATTTTTTTAAACCCTGAAATCTGGAATTGCTTGTCAATCAGTTATTACCATATAATGTACAAAGGTTGTCTAAACCTCAAAGCTACAGAATGAACTTTGCTCATCATCTGGACTCTGATCCAATCCAATCTACCATTATTCTGCAGGTAACAGAAATGCCTGTTGAATATGCAAACTGGACGAGTGGAAGAGGTGGACAAGGAGATCCCTATTGTATTGGCATTAATTCATCACCAATGAATTTTTTAAGGCTATTTTTCAAAGGGAATGTGGACATCACTGGGTAGGCCAGCATTTATGAGCTACCTTTTTGAACCACTGCGGTTTTTGTGGTCTAGGAACACCTAAAGTGTTGTTAGGAAGGGAATTCCAGGCTGCTCTAATCCTTCTTGGTGATAGAAGTTATATGTGTGGTCGAGGCTGAAGTAACTTTGGGGCAGTTGCTGCCACACAACAGAACAGTCTGCTCTTTTTCAAATAGTGTGATGGGATCTTTTATCCTGAGTCTTGAAAGTCAAAATGCCCCAGTTTATCATCACATCCAAAAGACAGGAAATCGAACAATGAAACACCCTTTCAGTGCTGCACTGAAATGTCAGTGTAACCATTAGCTCAAGTTTGTGCAGCAAGACACAAGGCTACAGCCTTCTGGCTCAAAGGCAGATTTTATGCAAGGGAAATGAACAGAGTCCAGTTGCAATGATATAGGTTTGGCAGAGATATTAAATAAATATTCAAAATCAGTTTTCTGTAAACAGTGGTGCAATTTAGAGTATACTTGTTCAACAAGAGACTGTCATTCATACTTACTTCATCTTCAGACTTCAAATATCACTCAATGATACTGCACTGGTGTTGACCATTACACCAGCATGCTTCAAAATAGTAGGTATGAGCTTATTTCATACATTTAACTGCAAATATCCAAAATTTATAATCTTGCACACAAATGCCATCCTCCAGATGTCATCAAATTGGTGTACTTTAAATATATTTAAATCGTCAAATTATCATTTTAAATGTCTTACTTTCCAGCACGGTCCAGTGACATGGCAGCAGTGTCAGGTGTTCCACTCTCTACAAACATCATGCTGGCTTTCTCAATAAGCTGAACTGCTTCTGGTAACTTTTGCATTTCCTATTTTTAAAAACAATATTCAATTATGCACATGTATCTTTAGATTATCACATTAGCACAGGATATTTAACATCTGGCTTATGATTGAGTTCTAATATCAAAGGGTACAGGAGGACATCATTCAAAATTGGAAGATAAAAGATGGGAAAAATAATGAAATAACATGCACCCAATAATTGCAAGGGAAGGGCTAACATCCAATTAACACTTAAACATTACAAGGTAAATATTTATTCAAGCAAAGCAGCATTCATTAAACATTCCCATAGTATCTGTGCCTCAAAAATCATGCCATCTAATTATTTCCCTAGCTAAAACAATCATATTCAAATTCAAAGTATGTATCATTAAACAGCTCCCAAATATGCTATCTCAATGTAAGGTTCAATTAACGTATCAATATTTCACCAGCATTCCCACGTAAAATAACTCATTTACAAGATGGGGATCACATGTTTCTACTGTGAGCACTAAACACCACAGAAAATAATTTCAAAAGCAACCAGCCTGTCACCAACAATTCAACAGGTTCACGGATGTCACTCAAGCCTCCGTATGATTATTGTCCCACACACTAACAATTGCTAGAAGACCAACTTCAGGCCAAACAAAGATGGAAAATAAATGTAATTTTGCAATTCGGAGATCCTTCCCTCTGTTTAAAAAGAACTTTTAAAATTGTATATTGCTAATAACAATATTAAAAACATAAGATGCTACTAAAATTTATTCAGAGATAGTAGGAACTACCGATGCTGGAGTCTGAGATACCAAGGTGTGGAGCTGGATGAACACAGCAGGCCAAGTAGCATCAGAGGAGCAGGAAACCTGACGTTTCGGGTCGGGACCCTTCTTCAGAAATTGGGGAGGGGAAGGGGCCTCTGAAATAAATAGAGAGGGGGAGGCAGTGATAGAAGATGGATAGAGGAGCAGATAGGTGGAGAGAAGACGGACAGGTCAAGGAGGCGGGGATGAAGCTAGTAAAGGTGAGTGTAGATAAGGAGTTGGGACGGGGGTTGGTCAGTGAGGAGGGAAGGGCGGGTAAGTGGGAGGGAAGATGGACAGGTCAAGGAGGCAGGGATGAAGCTAGCACAGGTGAGCATAGGTAGGACAACAAGGTGCGGAGTTGGATGAACACAGCAGGCCAAGCAGCATCATAGGAGCAGAAAGGCTGACATTTCGGGCCTAGACCCTTCATCAGAAAAAGTGGGGGTGGGGGTTGGTCAGTCAGGTGGGGGGAGTGGATAGGTGGGAGAGAAGATGGACAGGTCAAGGATGCGAGGACGGGGGGGGGGGGGTGCTGGTCTTGGGAGGAGGTCAGGGGTGGGGAGATTTTGAAGCTTGTAAAGTCCACATTGAGACCATTGGGTTGTTGGGTTCCAAGGCGGAATATGAAATGCTGTTCCTCCAGTTTTCGGGTGGCATCATTGTGAAACTGGAGGAGACCCAGGATGGACATGTTGTCCAAGGAGTAGGAGAGGGAGTTGAAGTGATTCACGACTGGGAGGTGTTTTTGTTCGTCACGAACTGAGCGTAGGTGCTCCACAAAGAGGTCTCCAAGCCTCCGCTTGGTTTCCCCGATGTAGAGGAGGCCACATCGGGAACAGCGGATACAATACACCACATTAGCAGATGCGCAAGTGAACATCTGTTTAATGTGGAAGGTTTTCTTGGGGCCTGGGATGGAGGTGAGGGGGGAGGTGCAGGGACAGGTGTAGCACCTCCTGCAGTTGCAGGGAAAGGTGCTGGGGGTGGTGGGGCTAGTGGGGAGTGTGGAGCAGACGAGGGAGTCATGGAGACAGCGGTCCCTCCGGAAGACACTAATCTGACTATGACCTTAACTCTATTTTTCTGCATTTTCTCCCATAATCCTCAACTCTGCTGCCAATCAAAAATCTAACAAACTCAGCCTTGGATATATTCAAAGGACCCAGCCCCTACTGTTTTATGAGTGTGAGAAAATTCCAAAGACTTACAGCTTCTGAGTGAAGAAATTCATCTTAATTTAAATAGGAGTTCCATTATTTTTAAAATGTGCAGTTAAGAGGAGGTTCACTGAACTGATACCCAGGATGAGAGGGGGAGGTTATCTTATGATGAAAGGTTGGCCAGGCAAGGCCTGCATTCTTTTATCTTTGTTCATGGGATGTTGGCTTCACTGACTAGGACAGCATTTATTGCCTTCCCCTCATTACCTAGAGAGGAGTTAAATGTCAAACACATGCTGTGGGTCTGGAGTCACATGTGGCCCAGACAGGAAAACAATGACAGATTTCCTTGCTAGAGGACATCAGTGAACCAGATAGGTTTTAAAACAATTAACAATGGTTACATGGTCGCCATGAGGCTAGTTTTTAAATCCAGATTTTTACTGTATTCAAATTTCACCATCTTCTACAGTGGAATTTCGACCCGTGTTCCCACCACATTAGTCTGGATTCTGGATTACTCATCCAGTGACATTACCACTATGCTAGTTTAGAAGGAGGAGAGCAAATCTTATTGAAATACAAGAGAACCTGAGATGACTTGACAGCATCAAAGGATATTTCTTCTTGTGAGGGAGACTAAATCTAAGGGACAGTTAAAACATAAAGGATTTCCAATTTGAAACAGTGACGCAGAAGAATCCTTTTTCTCAGAGGGTCGTGGATCTTTGGAACTCCACCCAAGTCAGTAATGGTTTCATGACAGTAGTAGACATATTCTTGATAATAAGGTAGTCAAAGGTTATTGAAGGGGAGGCAGGAATATGGATTTGAAGCCACAGATCAAGCTAGAGGGACCACATGAACTAGTCCTGCTTCGAAACTGTATGTTTGTACGGGATCTCAGTTCTAGATGCCTCCAAGAGAGGAAATAGAATAGCACCTATTCTGTCAAGTCACTTCAGAATTTTACGTTTCAGTAAGATCAGCTCTCATTCTTCTAAATGCCAATGTGTGTGGGCCCAAACGTTTCTCCAAGTTCCAAATGACAGGCACGGGAGTTCCTAGAAGCCTGGTACTCTACGAAGAAAGCCATCAGCAAACACATAGAACTTGGCCCCATATACACTCCATTGCGAAGAAAAACCGGAAGTGAGTTAATCCTGCTCAACGGATTCCAGAGTTTAAAAAACAGGCGGGAAAACACAACGGCACTTCATCGGAGGCTGCACTGATGATGTTACCCAGCAGGGTAATGAAACATCTGCGGAACAACAAAGAACCAGCTCGGCGAGCCAACCAACCACAATATAGATGCTATAGCAAGGATAGAAAGGGAGGCGGCATCTTTGGTCAAAGGAAACATTACGGTTGTATTTATGGATGATATTCCTGGCGTGAGTGGAATTGAGAAATAAGAAAGGGATGATCACCTTATTGCAATTGTGCTATAGGCCCCTCAATAGTCAGCAGGGAAATTGAGAAGCAAATATTTAAGAACATGTCAGATACTTGTAAGAATAATAGGACTGTAATGGTTGGAGATTTTAACGTTCCAAATATAGACTGGGACTGTCATACTGTTAAAGGCTTGGATGGAGAGGAATTTGTTAAGTGTGTACAAGAAATTTTTCTTATCAATATATGGATGTACCAACTAGTAAAACATGGCCTTCTTTTGGGAAATAATACAGGGCAAGTGACTGAGGTGTCAGTGAGGGAGCACTTTGAGGCAAGTGATCATAATTTTTGTAGTTTTAAAATAGTTGTGGAAAAGGAACTAATCAAAAAGTTAGAATTCCAATTTAGAATAAGGCCAATTTTGATGGTATGAGGCAGGAACTTTCAAAAGTTGATTGGGGGAGGTTTTCACAGGTAAAAGGGATGGTTGGAAAGTGGGAAGCTTTCAAATATGAGATAACGAGAGTTCTGAGAGACAGTACGCTCCTGTTAGTGTGAAGGGCAAGGCTGGTAGGTGTAAGGAATGCTAGAGTCTAGAAAAATAGAGGCTATGGTCAAGAAAAGGAGGCATACGTCAGGTATAGACAGCTGGGATCAAGTGTATCCCTATAGGAGGATAAAGGCAGTAGGAGTATACTTAAGCAGAAAATCAAAAGTGCAAAAGGGAAACATGAGACAGCTTTGGAAAACAAGGTTAAGGAGAATCCACAGAGATGCTACAAATATTTTAAGGGCTAAAGAGTAACTAGGGAGAGAATAGGGCCCCTTAAAGATCATCGAAGCCATCAATGTGTTAGATCACAGGACATAGATGAGATACTAAACGAATACTGTGCATCAATATTTACTGTGAAGGAGGACATGGAAGCTAGGGAACTTGGAGAAATAAATAGTGATGTCTTTGAGTGTGTCCACATTACATAAGAGGTGGTGCTGGAAGTCTTAAAACGCATAAAAGTACTTGATCAGGTGTATCCCAGAACTTTATGGGAAGCTAGGGCTGAGTTGCTGGACCCCTTGCTGAAGTATTCCTAACATCAACAGCCACGGCTCAGATGCCAGAAGACTGGAGGGTGGCCAATGTGGTGCCATTATTTAAGAAATGTGGAAAGGAAAAGCCACAGAACTATAGACCAGTGAGCCTGACATCAGTGGTGGGTAAGTTGTTGGAGGGAATTCTGAGGGACAGATTTTTGATGCATTTAGAAAGGTAAAACTGATTAGGGATTGTCAACATGTGCATGGGAAATCGTGTCTCACTAAATTGATTTGAGTTTTTTGAAGGGGTGACAAAAAAGATTAACGAAGTCCATAAATACGCATGCACTATCAAAATTGCAATCTCAGAAATCTGGATGTTTCTGCAATATTGTTACCAGGTGTCCACAGGCTGTCAAGTATCCTTACCTTTTTTTGCTGAAAAAGAGCCTTTGAATATTAAGTTGTTATTTTTGGTTACAGAAAGATGGAAAATCAGATTTCAAGAAAGCAGAAAGAATATCAAGAGACAAACCTTCAGCATCATTCCAGCCTGTTCGTATGCTCTGTGGAGAATAGAAATAAATTACAGAGATGCTATGCACCATAGGATTACTGCACAAAACTGGTCTCGCTGCACAAATTTAACATAACAGAAAAGTATTAAAGATATCTGATGCAGTCCTAAGCAGACTATAAGAGGTACCAGCACTGAATTAGTACTTATGACCAGTACTGCTCCAGTGCTCATCTGTGGTCTGTTAATTCAGAGACTCAGACTGATGGTCTGGAACCATAAGTTCAAATCACACCACAGCAGGTACTGACATTTGAATTCAATTAATATATCTAGAACTAAAAGCTAAATTTAATAGTGACCATGAGCCACTGTCAATTGTTGCAGAAATCCAAATCACTCACTTATGTCCTTTAGCGAAGGAAAATCGGCCAGACTCGTGAAGGCTGGTCTACATGTGATTCCAAATATACAGCAATGTGGTTGACTCAAATGTCTTCTGATATGGCCTAGAGAGACAACTTGCTGGATGGGCAACAAATGCCCATTGCAAGTAACACCCATATCCCACATAAGAGTTTTAAAAAAGCTCTGAAATTTTCGTAGTCCTCCTGACCAACATTTGAGGGAGCTTGTACCAAAATTGGGACAGCTGTCAACAGCCTGACAACGTTTTTTTAGATCTCGGCCAACTCAGTCCGTAGTACTCTTACTTAGCAACTCTTCAACACATCTGTAAGATACAACTCTGAGTGTCACTATGTCTCACATACAGTATAATCATCCAGAGGTGGAAAGGCACTGGAATATAGTTGGGAAGGAGCTGGCTTGGGATTCCTCAACATTGAATCTGGACCTCAATGTTACATTGTAACAGGTCAAATGCAGACAAGAGAATTTCCTGCAGATTAACAGCGCTACGCCCATGGCTAATGTATCGCTTCTCCTCCATATTGAGCACCACTTAGAAGACTCATTGATGGGTGGTGAAGGCACAGAATGTGTTCTAGATGTGGGGCTTCATCACGAATAATTTGGTAGCACCACTACTGAACAAGCAAGGTCCTGAATTATTTGGTGGCTGCACTGGACCTGCAACAGGTGGTGAAGGAACCAACAAGAGTAAAAAAAAGGTCTCATCCTGACTGGTCTACGTGTCGCACGTACGTCTATGTCAGAATCGGTAGCTGCAACCACACAGCACTACTTACTAAGTCCCATGTTCCCATCGAGGATACCCTCGATTGCATTACATGGCACTACCACCATTCTAAAAAGGAGATCATTCAAATATATCTAACAGAGCTACAGACCTAGGCAGCATCTTTTGCCATTTCAATTTTTAAAAAAAATTAATTTAGGGAATCTGGGATTCATTGGCTAGACCAGCAAAGCCCATTTCTAATTTGCCTAGAGAATGTGATGCCTTCTTGAATCCATCAGTGATATATTTCCAAGTCTGGATGGTGAGTGACTTCGAGAGGAACTTGCAAGTAGTGATGTTCCTATTTTACTATTGCCCTTATCCATCTAGACGACAGTGGTCATGTGTTTGGAAGGTGCTGTCTTAGGAACCTTAGTGTATGTATGCATAGCATGTTGTAGATTGGTACAGTGCTGCTACTGAGCATCAGTGGGAGAGGGAGTGAATGTTTGTGGATGTGATATCAAACAAGACTTTGACCTAGATGGTGTTGATCTTCTTGAACATTGTTGGAGCTGCACTCATCCAGACGAGTAAAGAGTGTTCCATCACAATCCCGTCTTCTGCCTTGTAAATGATGAACAGAGAGTCAGGAGTCAAGTCATCTGCTGCAAGATTCCTAGCTGCTGACCTGCTCTTGTATCCAGGTACTTGTATGAGTAGTTCAATTCATTTCTGGTCAATGGTCACTCCCAGGGATGTTGCCAATCGGGGATTCTGTGATGGTAATGCCAATGACTGTCAAGGGCAATGGTTAGGTTCTCTTCATTGGAGATGATCATTGCTTAGTATTTGCATGATGTGAATGTTACTCACTATCTGTCAGCCCAAATCTGAAAGTTGAGATAACAAGGTGTAGAGCTGGATGAACACAGCAGGCCAAGCAGCATCAGAGGAGCAGGAAGGCTGACGTTCTGGGCCTAGACACTTCTTCAGAAAAATTTGTCAGGTCTTGCTGCATTTGGACATAGATTGCTTCAGTACCTTCAGCATAACTTGCTACTTATCAGCACAAACCTGGATATTGTCAGGCCTTGCTGCATATGGACACGATTGCTTCAGAATCAGAGGTGTTCCAAATGGTGCTGAGCACTAAACAAACATCAGCAAACATCCCCACATCAGACTTGGATGAATATCACTGATGGAACAGTTGAAAATGGGTGCACCTAAGACACTATCCTAAGGAACTCCTGCAGTGATGTTTTGCGACGGAGATAACTTTCTTTTGTGCTAGGTATGAGTCAAACTGGTAGTAAGATTTCCCAGATTCAAATCTGACTCCGGTTTTGTTGTGGCTCCTTGATCCCAACAACTTTTAGAAGTCAACAGTAAGTTATTTTCAATTGAATTTCTAATCTCTGCCCTGTTTTTGTGATCACAGTATTTATACGATTGGTCCAGTAAAGTTTCCGGTCAATGATAACCACCAGGATGTTGATGATGGGGGATTCATCTATGGTAATTCCAAAATGGAAAACCATTAAATTCTCTTTTGTTTGAGATGGTCATTGCATGGAATTGATAAGGCTTCAACACTGCATAATTACACAAGCCTGAACATTATGTCTTGCTTCATGTGGGCATGGGCCACTTCACTCTGAGGAATTGAGGATGATATAAAATGTAAATTAACAGCAGCAAATATCTCAACTTCCGACCGTATGTTTCAAGGATAATGCAGCTGAAGACAATTCAACTCAAGGCACTATACTGAGGAAGTCCTGCACCAACCTAATTGGGCTGAAATGACTGACATCCAACAAGCACTTTTGGTCCTATGTATGACATCAACTAATTGAGAGCTTACACCCTTCTTTCCATTTACATCAATTTTGCTCGAGCTTTTTGATACCACACTTGGGCAAATGTTCACTTGATGTCATGGCAATCTCTGTCAGTTCACCTTTGATATTCAGCTCTTTTGCCCATGCTTGGACCAAGACTACAATGAGTTCTAGAGTTAGTGGCTCTGGAAATACCAAAATTGGTACATTGGTGGGCAGGTTGTTGCTGAATAACGGACACTTTATACCATCCCCAATTAGTTGACTCACAGCTGAGCAGAGGCCGATTTGGCAATAATGACCAATTGGATTTGCACTGCTTTCTGCCAACAGGATGTACCATCACAATTCTTGAACATTATCAGGTAGATATTAGTGTTGTAGCTGTAAGAAAGCAGCTTGGTTAGGAGTGCAGCTAGTTCCACAGCACAAACTTTATATCACAACTGGGATATTATCAAGACTCATGGCCATTGCTATATTCATGACCTTGAGCTATTAATATGATAACCCAAAAAGAATAGAATTGTCTAAAGACTGGCATTTATGCTGGTGTAGGCCTCAAGAGTAGAAGATAATCATCCAGTTGGCACGTCTAGCTAAAGAAACTAGTGTTCCAGCTATGTTCCAAAATCAGTGAGAACAGGTATGTTTTTGGCCCATCCTCCAGTAGGTGATAAATTGCCTGACATCATTCAAAACTGAATGTAACAGGACTCAAAGGCTTTGTTCTGATATTTTGGCATGAGATTTGTTCAGTTCTATCTGCAGAATACTGATTCTGCTATTCAGCCTGCATGTAGTTTTGTGTTATAGCTTCATTAGGTTTGAAACATGTCCACAGATATGTTTAGTGCTTCTTCATGTTCTCCTATACTGAACTGGGGTTTGGTTTCCTGGATCTATAAGTAGAGAAAGAATGTCAATCTATGAGTTTACAAATTGTAGTTAAATATAATTCTGCTATCACTGAACGTCCACAGAACCTCATAGGTGCCCAGTTTTGAAACACCAGACTGATCCTGAGACTATCCAATACAGCACAGTGATACTACGATAAGTAATAGAGAATGATTTCAGTGTGCAGATGGGATTCCTCTCTGAAAGGACTGTACAGTGACTACTCATGCCAACACCATCCCACTAACAGCTATGTGTCCAGTCTGGCAGATATCTTTTTCGGGACTCAATCAGCTTGGTCAGTAGCAATTTAACCAAGCCACTTCGGTGACATTGAGGCTCCCTACCCAGAGTACATTCTTGTTACTCTTACTGCTTCTTCTCAGTTCAATGTGGAGAACTACTGATTCATTAGCTGAGGGAGAGTGGTAGATGGTAATCTATAAGAGGTTTCTTTACCCATGTTTGACCCAGTAACATGAAAGCATGGGGTTTGGAGACAATACTGAAAGGTGCCAGGGCCATTCCATATAAACTGTAAACCATTGTGCTGCCACATCCATTGGTATAGATTTAGCTCAGGATGTCAATGGACAACTCTGGGACATCAATTATAAGATATAATTTGGTGCTATGACTGAGTCAGATTGCTGCTGAATTAGTCTATGGGACAGTCCAATAATTTTGGCACAAGATTCCATTTGTGAGTGAGGATGACTTTGCAAGGTTGATTAGGCAAGGTTATCTAGGTGACGATTAATGGCTGTTTTTACTCCAACTTGCATTTTCTGTTGCAGCACATTGTTGGCACCCTGGCATTACATGACCATATTGGGAAAGGAGGACACATTTCCACTCACTTGAAGATGATTGATGAACCAGATGTATTTTTTTTTACAAGAATTCAGTTGCTTCTTGATCATTAATAATAAGACTAGCAGTTTGTTCAATTTTTAATTAATTGAATTCAAAAATCCCTCTGTCCAGGCCTTTGCATTAGCAGTCCACTAAAGTCCTTGCCTTTAGTGCCAAAAAAAAGTAAAATTGAAACAAAAGATCAAAAATAGTGCTTGAAGAATAAATCTGACCTGAAACTTAACAGAAAATGCAGCTTCAAACACACGTTCATTTCATAATTTTGTCTGTGCATCATTTAATGATAATAGCTACCAAAGGTGGCTCAATTCTCTGATACCACCAGAGTTAATAATTTTAAAAATTAATTTGATTATATTATCAGCATTTCTTATTGGAAAAAAAAATTTCAAATAACTGGAAACAAAAAATCCAAAACTCATTTCAGGTAGCAATTTTATTTTTGAATGCCATCTTGACTGAAGAATTTCCCTTGATTTCTACTTTATAGTCACACAATGAAGTTATAAAATGTTTAACTAGGGAGAAATTTGTTTGTCAAAAAAAATCTGCAAACTAATTTTAAAAAGTCCAGTTGCTGATGCCACTTTCTAGTTCAGTAGTAGCAAAACAAATAAATAGAAAAATCATGGTTCTAGAATGATTTGTACAATGCAGCCTCCAATTCCCATTTAAACCACTCATTTGTTAACTTCTCCCTGTCATCTCATGCTTTAAGGTAATACTTTCTTCAACTAAAATCTTGGAGATGCAAGTGTTTCGTATGAACCTACATGGTTAGAGCAATCACTGAATTCCCAATTGTGTAAAATTTCTAATGCAAGATCTGAATACAGTTATAAGAAACTTACAAATGAAAGTCAATGGCAAAGAAAATTACACATGGCCTATGGAAATGATTAGGTGCAAATGGAGGTCACCAAATCACCAGACAGTCTAAATGTTGGTGTGAAACAACACTAAAGCCAAAACCGACATCAATTTTAGGAAAAAATACAATTGAATGGCAATTCGGTGTTTGCGACATGAACAAGCTATGTTTTTCTTACCATTATCATAGACAAAAGCACAAGTCTGAAGAATCTGACTTAGCACAAGAAAGAAGGTTTGGCCTCAGAAATAAAACAAAATGGATCTTTGCCACCTAGTAACACAGCAGATAGCTGCAACTGAAGCACAACCTATAAAGCGCATGAGGCTAAAGTAATGTAAAATTTAAATTTAACACACCCACACATAATCCTTTCTGCAGATTTGTCCAGCACGTTGAAAAATAAAGCAACCTGGTTTTGTCCATCTTCCATAAACCCCTAACAAAATGAAATACAGCTCAGGCTTGAATCTCCTTGGCTGACATGGGCTCCGGCCATCCCCTGAACTTGAAGGAAGCAGATTTAAATTTTCCACTTTTACGTTAAATGTTTTTAATCTTTAAAATTAAAAAGATCTCATTGAGGAATCTCAATTGTTCTATCCTGGTCTTTTCCCCATCTCTCAATGCTATTCTTGTCAGCACCAAATTCCAAGGATTCTTAAATTTCAGTTGATCAGATGTACAAATGATATGGTTTGTTTTAGATAGCTGCATCCCATCAGGAGGACACTGGCCAATCTCCAACTTCATATTTATATAGGTTTCATTTAATTCCCTGGGGCAATGAAAACAAGCATAGCAGAAATTTACAGTACTTACTTAGCAGCATGGAAGAAACTAGCATGAACAGAATGTTAAGGAACCCAAAGAGAAGTGTCAGCGGCAAAGACATATCATTACACATTACCAACCATTCAGTGTGATTTCAGACAGAGCAATGTCTCATCTGGATCTTAACGCTGAATGAAATAAGCCAATGAGAAGTCAGATTGTTTCATCACTCACTGAAAACATAATTGTACCGACTTCAGGATCTTAACAAAATTGTTGGTTTAATTCTTTCAACATTTCTTCCATCATTGGCTGGGTCAGTATCTAATGCCCGGGAGAATGTAGTATTGAAACCTCTGAGGTGTAGGGACAGCTACAATGCTATTAAGGAGGGAGTTCCAGAATTTTGACTAAGTGATAGTGAAGGAACAGCAACATATTTCTAAATCAGGATGGAATGTAGTTTGGAGGGGAATGTGCAAGTGGTGCTACCCTCATACATCTGCTGATGCTGTCCTTCAGCCATGATGAGTCGCTGCAATGCATCTAGTAGATGGTACACACTGCTGCCACTGTTCACCAGTGGTGAATGTTGAAGGCGGTGGATGGGGTGCAAATCAAATGGGCTTCTTTGTCCTGGATGGTGTCAAGCTTCTTGAGTGTTACTGCACAAAATCAGGCAAACAGAATATTCCATCACATTCCTGACTTGTGCCATGTAGATCAACAGGCTTCAGCAAGACAGATGTGTTACTTGCTACAGAATTCCAAGCTTCTAACCTGTATTTATTTATTTATATTGCAGGTTCAGTTCAGTTTCTGGTCAATGGTAGCCCCCAGGATATTGATATTTAAGCATTAGCAACAGTAATGTCATTAAACATCAAGAGGTGATTAGATTTTCTCTGGAAGGTGGCCATTGCCTGGTACTGCGTGGTGCAAATATTACTTGTTACGTATCAGTCGAAGCCCAGATGCTGTCCGGGTCTTGCAGGCTACAGACATGGCCTGCTCCAGTATCCAAGGTGTGGTGAATGGTGATCATTGGTGCAATATTCAGTGACCATCAACACTTCTCACATGATGATAGAGAGCAAGTCATTAACAAAACAACGGAAGATGGTTGAGCCTCGGGGACTACCCTGTGGAACTCCGGCAGTGACATCCTGAGACTACAATGATTAACCTCTAACAACCACAACCATCATCATTTGTGGACATATGGTTCAATAAAGAATGTAGGAGTGCTCGCCAGGACAAAAGCAGACATACCTAACAATGACGTCTCAACCTGGTGAAACAGCAACACAGGATTACTGAAGTGCCAAACAGAAGCAGCGTGTAATAGACAAAAAGAGATTCCACAATCAAGAGATCAAGATGTGGAGTGCTGCCACATCCAGTCTTGAATGGTGGTGAACAACTAGCAACTACCAGGAGAAAAAGAGGCTTCACAAATATTGCCATCCCCAATGATGGGGACACCCAAAATATCATGGCAAAAGGCAAGGCTGAAGCATTTGCATCCATTTGGCCCTTGATTCATGACATGTGATATCAAAAAAGACTGAAGGCACTGGAAACTGAAAAGGCTTTGGCTTGTGATAACATTCTGGTAATACCACTCAAGATCTGTGCTTCAGAAACCCTCACCAAATTGTTCCAATGCAGCTACAACATTGGCATCCATTTCATAATGTGGAAAACTGCCCTATCCACGAAAGGAAGTTCAAATCCAACCTAGCCAATTACCAAATAAAAACTGAAAAGATCTGAGGATGCTGTAAATCAGAAACAAAACAGCAAGTCTTTCCTGCAAGACCGGCTGAGCTATTCCAGCAATTTTTGTTTTTGTTTCTAGCCAATTATCACTCTATTCTTGTTTATCAAAGCAATGTAAGGGATCTTCAGTGTGTCAAGTATCACTTGCAACGGACCAAAATAATAATTTAAATGTTCTTCGTTTAAGTTCCAATTCATAAATTACAGTCATAAAGAGTTTTACTGATTTATTTCAATACATGTCACATCATTCTAATTCATATTTCATTAAAAAAAAATGCAATTTCTCTACTGACCTGATAGTAGATTTATGAAGGATGTCCTAGAAATACTTAGAAATTGCTCTGAAAACAATGAACAAAGTTCATTTGCCACATTGTGTCTAGTTTCCGAATGTCTAGCAAGATATTCCAAACTGAAATTCGCCTTCATTTTATTGAGCTGAAAGGAGAGGGTTGGTACATAGTTGGCTGGACAGCTGGTCCGCAATGCATAGTAATATCAACCCCATGGGTTCAATTCCCACATTGGCTGAGGTTACTATTAAGGACTCGCCATCTCAAATTCACCTCGCCTGAGGCTCAGATTAAACAACTAGCTGTCGTTCTGATGAGAGCAGCCCTATGGTCTGCAAAGACCATGGCAAGTTTACTATTTAGCTGGATTGTCCTGAATGTTAAAATACATTCTAACATATTGAGCATTCAACTACAAAACATGAGCTGAGTTGAAATTGATACAAAGGGTAACTCAAAAGCTCAGGCTCAACACTAATTTAATTCCATACTTGCATGCTTGAAGATTAGACCACACTACATCATACACCTTTTTTGTTGGGAGGTACTAACTATCTATAAATCGTAATAATATCTATAAATGTCGACAGCTTATTGGAGGAGTTCCCTCTTCTGTAAGTAGTACCTTGGGAATTCCTTTACTCCAAAAAGGAAATTAAGCCCTAATCTGAAAAATCTGCATCGCTGACATGCAAAAATCCTTTAGCACTGTACTAAGGTCCATGGAATGGGACTTGAACTCAAATTATCTGATTCAGAGGCCGAAATGCTACCACAGAGCCAAGACAAAGACACTGCTTACCTAATGGTTCCAAAAGCCTACAGTAATATTGAGAAGTTTCTTGGAGCAGGAAGCTGCAACGATAACAAATTTAAAACCAAGCTGCAATCTTTTTAAATGCAGCTGAGCAAGGAGACACAACAGGCAAATTGAAAGGACACAGAGTAAAATTCTTGCCCAAAGTTCAAGTTCTCCTACTCACCCATTATAACTTCAGTGACTTATCAGCATTTGGTAAAAACACTGTATACATCATTGTCTCAATTTCTTCTTCTAAAGAAACTAAGAAATAGATGCAGAAATTGGCCATAACACCTCAAGCTCACTCCAATGAATAAAATTAATCTCCTACTCAATTCCACTTTCTTTCCCTACCCCGAACATTCCTAAATTCCTTTAATGTCCAAAACCATTTTGATCTGACCAGAATATACTCAGCAACTGAATAGTTGGAGTACAGAATTCCAAATATTCCCAATACACACCAAGTGACTAGATTCCTCATTATCTGAATCCTACATGGCTGACACCCTTATCCAGCACATATGTCCCTAGTTCTAAACTGTACAGTGAGGGAAAACAGCCTCTTGGCATTATCCTTCAGCCTAAGTAATAACCTACTAGCAGGTGGAGCCCTGCAGTAGTTCATCCTCATTATAGTTCTAATTTAGCAGTTGTTCAGTATAAAACAATGCAAAACATCCTCTTAGGTATACCTTACTTCCTTAAAAATGAATTAATATTTGTTTTGAATAATATATAAAATACACAAAACCAAGTAAAGCACTTCCTTCAAGAAGTCAGCTTTGAAGATAAGAAAAGGATACGCTCTATTGTTCTGATGTGACTCTGCTTCTCTTAGGTAGGCATCCTTTGCTTGGTCATATTGTTTCGCATTTTTGAATGCGACAGCTATCAAGAAACAGAATACAAATAAATTTATATAAAATCCTAAGACATAGCAGCAATTTTTATTTAATCATTCGTTACTCACAATATGGAAACACAGAAAATGTACTGCATGCATAGAACACATCAGCCAAAAAAGTGTCATCCACCTTAATCTAGCTTCCAACTCTTGGTGTGGCGCTCCTCATGTTACGGTATTTTAAGTATATATCCAAATACTTATTTAAAAGTAATGAAAGTTTTGCCTGTATTAATCTTTCAGATTCCCATCAATGTCTGTAAGATAACTGTCAACTCTTCCCTAATTCTTCCAAAAATTATGTTAAATCTATGTCACTGGCTATTCATCCCTTTAAGAAAAATAAGTTCTTTCCTGGCAACTTTACTTACCTCATTTTTTAAAAATGTCAATTAAATCTCACCTTGTCCTCTTCCGTTCCATAGAAAACCATTCAAGTTTATCCAATCAAGCCACATAATTAAAATTCTACATTCCTCACAACAACTTTACTCTTTTGTGCCCTCTCCAGTGTAATGCAGTGAGCAAAACTGTAGCTGCAACCTAACTGTTTTACACAGTTATACAGTTCTTGCATCACATGCTCTCTTATGTTTAATGCCTTGCCAAACAGCAGAAGGTATTCCATCTGCCGTCTTGAATATTTTATCTACATTCAGAATCACTTAGCTCCCCTTAGTTGAAGGTCAATAACAAGGGGGCATAATTTTGAAGTGAAAGGTAGAAGGATCTGGAATGCACTGCCTGGGAGGGTAGCTGAGTTGGGAAACTTCACAACCTTTAAATGGATGAGCACTTTAAATGTCATAACATTCCATGCTATGTGTTGGCAAGTGGTAAGTGGGACTAGTGTAGGGCCTCTTCTGTAGTGTATGATTCTATGAATCTGTGGACACGTACATCAAGATCTTTCGACTCTTTCACAGTTCTCACAATCCTACCATTTACTGCTATTTCTTTACCTTGTTTGCTCTTCACAAATGTATTAACTCAGACTTCTCCAAACTGAATTCAATTTACTACTGAAACCCACTGCAAGCAGCATCTGAGTGACAAAAATACTTGTTGAGCATTAACTTTTATTTTCTACCACTAAGCCAATTGTCAATCTAACTTACAACTTGCCCTATGATCCTATAGACTCCTACTTTTGTGATGTCTGCCAAGTGGAACCATGTTGACGACATCAAATACACTACCCTTATCAACTCTTCTTGTTATCTCCTTCAAGAAATGTATTCAATTTAGTCAGATATAGCCCTCATGCCAACTATCATTAGTTAAGCTATGTTTTTGGAACTGAGGATTTATATCGTCCATCATATCATGCATCACAGTACCACGCAGAAGAACAACAGAAGCAGATGCTTAGTAACATCACTTCAAACTCCCCTCCTACCCACATGGCATCCCGATATGATACTATCAGCATCGCTTCTCTCTCCAAAAATTGTCTCCCTAACAGCATTGTAGGAGTCAGTTAGCTGGATGGCTGGTTTACAATGCAGCGTGACGCCAACAGTGTAGGTTCAATGCATGCACAAGCTGAGATCACCCTGAAGGACTCTCCTCCTCAAACTCTCCCCTCACCTGAGGTGTGGTGACCCTCAGGTTAAACCACAATCAGTCATCTCTCTCTCTAATGAGAGAACAGTCCAGTAGTACTGTGGCACCTTTTTGTAAGAGTACCTAAACCACAAGGTCTTCAGTGGTTTAAGAAGGTAGATAATCATTATTTTATCATAGATAAATATGGATGACAACAATACTGACCTTACAATTAATGCTTAAAAATTAAACTACCTAAATAGTAGGTTGCACACTTTAGAACATTTTGATAAAACAAAGTAATAATGCGTTTAATAGAAGTTTCTTCCAATTTATGTTAACTTTCTATTGAAACACTCGGTTTTAAGTTATAAATGTTAAAATATCAAAACCTTAATGTAAACCCTGAAAACACAACCTGTATAAATTTATGTATACTTAGTACTATGAATTATTAACAAAGTGTTGTATTTAGTACATTTAAGGAACTTGCAGCGAGCACTCAGTACATATAAGACATTACAATAAAAAGAGATAACAAGATGTTGAGCTGGATGAAC